AACGTTCTCAGCAGCTTCTGGATTCCCTGCTTGATCTCCTTGGTTCTCACACCATAAACAATGGGGTTCAGAGCTGGGGGGATGAGGTGGTGCAGGATGTTGAGCAGGATGGGGACATCTGGGGGAATCTTCTTCCTGGCCAGGTTAGTGATGACCAGAACCAGCAGGACTGTGCTAAAGAAGAGGATGAGGATGAAGTGGGAACCACAAGTGCCCAAGGCCTTGGCCATAGCACCCTCAGCCTTGATCCTTAGCACAGCTTTCAGGATGAAGGAGTAGGAGAGAACAATTAGGATGAGGTCAGAGCCCAGTAGGGTCCAGCCTGCCACAAACTGGTAGAGCCGGTTGAAGGTGATGTCATCACAGGAGAGTTTGGACACAGACAGATTAGTGCAGATACAGTTCTTGATGATGTTCTCTGCACAGTATCTGAGCCGGGAAGAAAGAATGGGAACAGGAAGAGAAAAAAGGCCATTCCGGGCCACAACAAAGATGGCAGCCTTAACCACAAACTGGTCAGTGATGATGGATGGGTATCGTAGTGGGTGGCAGATGGCCACGTAGCGGTCATAGGCCATGACCATGAATGTACAGGACTCCATGGTCAAGAAACTGTTCATGATGAACATCTGGAGGAAGCAGGCTGAGAAGCTGATGGACCTGAGATCAAACCAGAAGATGGCAAGGACCTTGGGGATGACAGTCAGGCAGAGCACCATGTCCAGCAGGGAGAGGAGGCTGAGCAGGTAGTACAGGGGCTCATGAAGAGACGCCTCCAGCCTGATGGTGATCAGCAGGGTGGCATTGGCCCCCATAGCCAGGAGGAAGAGGAGGCTGAGGGGCAGGGACAGCCAGTGCTGCCAACTCTGGTAGTTAGGGAAGCAGATGAGGAGGAATTCAGAAACTGGAGCAGTAGAGTAGTTGTTGGTGAGGCCATATAAAGTATCTAATGAGCTAAAAATCCAGAGTCCCTTAAAAAGTAGGACAAAATACATCAACATAGAAAGTATGTGGGGTTTTTTCCTTTTTTTTCATTATGTTCATTTAGCCAACGTATAGTACATCATTAGTTTTTGATGTAGTGTTCAACGATTCATTAGTTGCATATAACACCCAGTGCTCATCACATACGTGTTCTATATGTAGTAAAACTCAGGTTTTCATTAGGGCTTTTAACCTGTCTGAACTTTTCAAATCATCATCATCATCTCATCTCAATCATTGCTGACCTTTAACTGAGCAGTTATCATGTGCTACACATTATGCTGAATGTTTATATTCATCATCATATTGCCTTTTAAAAAACACTTAAGAGTAAATAATATTATCCTAATTTTCCAGATAATTAAAAGGAACAGGCAAAGAGGAGCAAAGTAGTTTGATCAAAATTAGACAGCCAGTAAGTGTGAAGCCAGGACTATGACAAAAGAGTCTGACTAAAGTCTTTGCTTTCAACCACTTTATATTATTTAGCCTCAACAAGCACAATTACTTAACTAAGACCTACCTTCTTTTGGAGTTCAGAAGGAATAGCTTATGGAGAGTTCTGTTTAGCAGAATACATAAAGGTCCCAGAAAAGCCCACCCCCCTACTCTATTGACTCAGACAGGGCCTGAATTAGGGTTTCTAATTTTCATTCTTTAAGAATATTGGATTAAAGGTAGAGCATCCCTTGACCCCACTCAAGAGCAGTAATATCTTCTAATCCCAAACGGGATTTCACTCTTAAAAGCAAAGGGTTTTGGGCGCCTGGGTGGCTCAGTTGGTTAAGCAACTGCCTTTGGCTCAGGTCATGATCCTGGAGTCCTGGGATCGAGTCCCGCATCAGGCTCCCTGCTCAGCAGGGAGTCTGCTTCTCCCTCTGACCCTCCACCCTCTCATGTACTCTCTCTCTCTCTCATTCTCACTCTCTCAAAATAAATAATAAATAAATCGTTAAAAAAAAAGCATCAATTATTTAAAAAAAAAAAGCAAAGGGTTTATCACTCCTACTGGGTTATTTGCTGTGTTTTCTCTTTGTGAGGTTCTAGAGTATTTCTTTGGTTTGGATTCTTTAGAAAAGCCTATAAATTTCATATTCTGGTAACAGAGATAGTCAGTACTGAGGGGTACACCAGTAGGTTCATCAAAGGTAGATTAGGAGCTAGCTAATGTTTCAGGTGTATAAACCTATACAGAATCCATTTATCTGGTAAGCAACATTATCTGTGATTCCTTGTGGCCAAAATCTGATTATTCTATCCAGATGGAAACTATGCTCTATAAACTCATCTGCTTTATTTAGTTATTTCTTTTGTTGCGTACCATCTTATTTCCCTCACTACTAAACAAAGAACAGAGTGGCCAAGCACAAAGAAGAATGACAGTAAGGGCTGTCCCAGCAAAGAACCAGAAAAGAGCCAGGGAGTCAGGGCAGACAGAGAGTGAGCCCCAGCAGCAACTAATCAGTATAGGTGGGATTACTGATCCTGCTCACCTGTCCGATCTGACAAATCTCTTCAAAAAGAATAAATTGTGTAAAAGAAGGTATCAGACTATCTGTCAGAGAAGATAAGATCCGATCAATTGGATAAGATTTTCATTTGGATATTTGAATATTCCAGACTTCCCAAGTATAGATTATAGAACACATACACACACACACACACACACTTCACACACTTTCTATTCATTATAGGGCTTTAAAACAAACCAAAGATTCAAGGGCTAAAATAAAGTAGGGAAAATTATGTATCAGCTCTGTCTTGTATTTTCATATGTGATTAGGAAATGACCCTCAATGTGAATCAGAGACATAAAAAGGATAGAAAACATAACCACCTTTTCAGAAAAGTCTTGTCCTTTCCATAAACTTCAAGTTCTGTATCCTCAGCATGACCTGCTCTACTTGAATAAGCAAGAAAATAGTCAGTGCCTTCCTTATACCTGGTCTAAATGTTAGTCATACAAACGTAGAGCATGCATTAAGCAAAAACTGGTATCCTCATAATAGAGGAAAATTGACTTACAAACACTTATAAGACAGTATAGTTGTGGTGATAAAGATGATCTTACAAACAGTGGGAAAGAGACAAATACACAGATGAATGAAGCAATGTGATATGGTTGAAAAGTTGGCTTCAGACAGAAATGAAGCCTGACTCATACCCATTAAAGGACACTGAGAGCCATTTAAACTCTATGATACATACATTCCTCATTTGTGAAATCAATAAATGATATTTAACTTCAGATGTTGCTGTGGGGAGAAAAAAGGGCGATGATTTCCTGAGGTCCTGTTAGGCCAAGAGACACTATGAGCTGAGAGCATCAGAGAAGGGTACAAAAATGAGGCCACATTCACCTGGGGGAGGAGGACTCTGTAGGCAATGGCAAGAGAAGAAACATCTATGTGGATGTTCAGCATGATTGGTAAAAAGGTGCTAGGGGCTGGTAGATCCTAAGTTTTTTGGGGGAAGCAGGCAGGAGAGCAGAGTGTCGGGAGACATGGATAAGGTGTGAAGGCGTGGCCACGTGAGGTCTACCTGAGAGTAGGCATGATCATGTACACTGTAAGGAAGCACAGAGGATTTGAGACAGGGAATTGATGTGCGGTAGATGGGACACAGAGAATCACACAGAAGGGAGGGAGGCTTCTGGAGAGTCCTGAGGAGTCCAAAGGAAAAGTGATGAAGATCTGAAGGAAGGCCACACAGGCAGAGAGAAGGATGTATCAGAGGCGTGGGGAGACCTACAAGATTTAGTGTAAGAGAGGATGAGCAGGCAGAGAGACCAGAGTCCAAAGTGTCACCAAGGACCTTTTAACTGACACAGACCTCCTATAACATTGATATTTTCTCCCAGGTGGTAATATACTTTCATCTCTCTTTTAGTAAATTCCTTAAGAGCTGGGACCATTCCTCCTCTCTTTCTGTAACCTCCTCAGTGAAGCTGAGGCTTCCTAATCTGAGAAATGAGGACTTGTTGGCCATCAGGGGCATTGCTCCGATATTCAATATCCAGTTCCATTCATTTGTACTGGCACACTGACATTTACAAAGGGGTGACCCTTGTTCTAAGTGCTATTGAACAAACATGGTCTCTGGCAATGATATATTAACAGTCTAGAAAGATCGGACAAGCCTTGAATAAACAAAATTACAACAGAAGACCCAAGCCCAGATGAGAAAATGGACGGATCACCTTGGCTCATAGATGAATTTAGACTAGTGCAGAAAGGAAGATTCTGACCCAGCCAGGCACAGGGTCTTGGTCTCCCAGCCTTGATATGAGTGGGGTCTTTGAGTCTATGGAAGTTTGGATACCCTGGATGGACACAAAATGACTCAGCCTCATCTCTGATGAAATAACAGCATTAGGTCAGTTCTTGCCACTCAGCCTTATGCCAGATCTAAGCATTTTGGCAGGGTCAGCATGTACACCAGGCCCTATTGAAAAGTTCCTTTTGCTTTACAGACTAAGCTCCTGGACTCCCCTCCTCTCCTTCCTCACAATCGTCCTGCTTAGTCCAGCTTGAGACTCACCAGCTTCAGAAGCCTGCACTGCTGCTGTTTCTGGCTGCTGGAGAAAACACTAAACTGGCCCCTGCAAGGGCTTTGGAGGCTGGTTTTATGAACTCTGCCTCCACAATGGCCCCTCTCTCCATTGTACACAGGAGTTGGTGCCCTTGTTAAGCACTAGGTCCCTGAGGCCCAATGGTCTATTTCCAAGAGAATATACTGTAAAACCTTGACTGTCAATAAAATAAGGGCAGGAGAGGTCAAAGGCTCTTGGGAAGTCTAAATAAAGAAACCCTGGAAAAAGAAGGGTAAGGAAACTGTGTGATGAGAATCTTCTCCCGGAAAATTTATGCAGATGCACCTGTGGGGAAAAACTGACTTTGTTGAGAGCCCTATAACTCTGTGGAGAAGGTGACAGAGGAACATAGGAGCATAGACCTCAGCCATCAAAGGAGCATAGACCTCAGGGAAGCATGGACCATGGGCAACCGGGGGCCAGGGAGCACTTTTCCTGTGAACCCCTCTCCTGCAGTGGGAGCATCAGTGGTCTGGACCCAAGCAAATCCCTGGGAGGGACCCTGTTTACACACATGTGGTCTCATGTCCGAGATTTTACCTTCATGGCCGTTCTTGGTCTAAACTGTCACCTAAGTGTGGTTGCAGAAAGTTCAACTGCTAACAATCTTCACCTTCCACACAGCAACACCTGGCATTGGTTTCCTTGGGAACAAGTGCAGCCACCACTCTGTATTGATGCACAGAAGGACTTTGAAAATCACCGCTCCTGTGGACCTTCCCAGATGTGTCTTATGATAGGGATTCTCAAGCTAAATGTAGGATCTTTTGGGCTTTGGACACAGGAATTTTGAAGAGAGGAGAGCAAGTGTGAGTCTGGTTCTAGGTCTTACACTTTCTTACCCACAACTGCTGGAGGAGACATCAGGGCAGGAATGTAGATAGAATATAATCTTGTTCCCTGCATGCACTAACTACTCTCCTGCCCCCACCTCTGCCTTGCTACCTGGAAGTCCCGGCTGAAGTGCCAAGGACCTTGTCAGCATCAAATAGAGTTGATAGATATACTAAATGAAGAAAACTATTTCATGAGTGAATCATCATTCTGTGAAAGAATGTTGCTAGTGCACACAGTTTACTCTGGGCAAAAGACCCTGATCCCTGTGTTTCTTACAAATGATCCCTTTTCACTGTCAGATCATAGGAATATTGGGAAGAGATAATTGGAGGTTTATGTTTGAACCCTTGTTCTAGTACTCTCTCATTGCTTTTCCTTGAAGAAAGTTCATCAGCTCTCAGAACCACAATTCCCTCATCTGAAATATAGGTATAACAAACTTTCCAACACAGATTTGTTGCAAGGATAAAATTACTTTTACTTTTTCATTGAACAAATATTTTTACCTTACTTTGACAAAGCACTACATATTTGAGATATGCACATTAAAAAATGGTTTCTGCCACCTTACAGAGGGAGACCAAAACTTTATATAAAGCCACACACACCAAGGATAACACAAGTAATAATAATAATAAATCTTTTTTTTTTTAAAGATTTTATTTATTTATTTATTTGACAGAAAGAGACACAGCGAGAGAGGAAACACAAGCAGGGGGAGTGGGAGAGGGAAAAGCAGGCTCTCCGCGGAGCAGGAAGCCCGATGGAGGGCTCGATCCCAGGACTCCGGGATCATGACCTGAGCCGAAGGCAGACGCTTAACAACTGAGCCACCCAGGCGCTGGGTGAGTTGAGGAAACTGCTCTCACCCAGCTCTGAGGAAGCACAGCACATGGACCCATAAACAGACCTCTTTTGGCTCCATTTATAGACAAATCAATATTTACTTTTTCAGGAGCAAGCGTAGGTCGAAGAAAACTCACAGCCTCTTTCTCAAACAGGACACAGTTCTTAATTCTATTATAAACATCGAAGTGAAAGCAATAAATTCAGTGACTTTGTGGAGGAAATCCAACAAGGTCTGTCCTTCCCTGGAATATTAACTCATCAGGTCCCCCACCCACTGTGTCCTAACAGCAACGTCTCTTGACAGACCACAAGAACTCTGCACAAACGCAAGGACTGAGCAGAGAATGCACTGCTCATTTAAATCCCATGTCAGACTCCTGATGTCATCCTAGCAAATCTTAAGGCAGCTTTTAGGAATGTGTTTGGACAGTCCTGGCTACAGACTGGGTCTGGAGGGGAGGGCATTCCGATCCCTGTACCCATCCACTAAGATGCAGCATACCACTGTCCCTCTCTTCATCCTTACCACTGATGGGGGGATGACTGGAAAACATGGAAGGGACTCAGAAAGTCTCCTTTGCTTCTCTCTTATGAGTCTAAAATAAAACCTGATGATCTACTTAATAAGGTTTCTGAAAGGGGCGCCTGGGTGGCTCAGTTGGTTAAGCGACTGCCTTCGGCTCAGGTCATGATCCCAGCGTCCTGGGATCGAGCCCCGCATCGGGCTCCCTGCTCAGCGGGAAGCCTGCTTCGCCTGCTTCTCCCTCTCCCACTCCCCCTGCTTGTGTTCCCTCTCTCTCTGTCTCTCTCTCTCTCTCTCTCTCTGTCAATTAAATAAATAAAATCTTTAAAAAAAAAAAAATAAGGTTTCTGAAAGAGGCAAACAAGCAGCAGGTCAGGCTGTAGGGCTCACTGTCTCAGAGAGACCAGGGGAGCCACAAAATCTCCAGAGGTCTCCTACAACTTCTCACCCTTCCCACTGCACAGCTTGGAGTTCAGCTGACAATCAATGTATATAAATGACAGAGATAAGGCTGAGTTTACTAAACTGAGTTCTTCCTCCTCTTAGACACACTGATAAATTTACATTTTCCAGGCTCACCTATAGTTAGATGGGGCTATAAGACTGAGTCTGGACAAGGAGATGGCACGTACCTCTTCTAGGCAAATCTTCACAGCCTACTTGATGTCCTCTACTCTCTCTACCCACCACTCTGGCCAGTTGCACTTAATCCAATGAAGACATGCAGCCCTACAAATGATGGAAATACACAATGGAAGAAGTTAGGTTTTTTAAAAGACAGCATGGAGGAGAACCTCCTCTTCTACATGTATTGGATGGATATCCTCAAAAAATAAAGTTGTATGTGTTAAACCCCTAACATATTGGAATTGTTCATTTCAACAGCCAGCAACTTATCCTGACTAATGCTGCAGACACTGAGAAAATTGACAACAAATCTTAGAAAGATCACACAACAAGGAAAACTGACATGTCTACTAAATAATAAATCTAGGGGAAATGGTTGGTTACAAATGAAAATAATTGTGTGTGTTTGTGATTGTTGATTCCATTGACAAGTTATTATGATAAGTAGATGAGCTTAGCAGAAAGTTGGCTGGTCTTCAAGCAGAAATAGAGAAAGTCCGTAAATGTGGGGTCTTGAAAAACTGTCCTACTGCTTGGGAGGTCAAAGGTTAAGAGAAAGTTTTAGATTGTCTTTGAAAAACGCAGACTCACAGAAACCAGCCCTGAGAAGAGTAGATTATGTGTATAGTTGTCTTACTCAAGTCCAGTGGCCTTTGACACCATTACCTAAAAAGGAGTGGCATGGTGAACTGGAAGAGACAATAAAGAAACGAAAGAAAAATTTTAAAATTATGCTTAAGAACATATGTGCATGTGATTACTAGTGCATGGAACTGCCCTGATACAAATAGCTCAGAAACCTGTTTGGTTTTTGACGGTGTTTATTAACAAAGACACCTGAGCTTGGCTTTTAAAGGAAGTTTTTGATTAAGGATTAAAGCAATTTTTGATCTTAATATTTTATGAGCTGGAAATAGGCTCCAAATGCAGTAATGCAAAAGAAGTCACATGTTCCAGTGCCTGCATGACATAATGCCATGGGGGACAATGAAGAAGACACACACCCCCAAAGGCAGAACAAGGGGTCATAGAAACAATGGCAAGTTCCTCCCAGAGAACATAACCAGCGTCAGTTCAGGGAACTTCCACCACTTCAGTGGGTAAAAATGTGGCAGTGCCTGTCCCCCAAAGTATTCCAGCATTACCATGGAAAAGCTCCTGCTGAACAAATTCCATGCCTCACCTCCAAATGGGAATCTTAATAATGGGTACCAGTGTCTGCTCCACCATTACCTATGTGGTGAGAGGAGAAAAATGGTCCACGAGGAATCACATCAGGACCTGATGGAGAAGACACTCACTGCTCAAGATCTTGGACTTTGTGAGAGCCTGGGTGGTCTCCCTTGGGAAGAGGGTAAGTATTTTTACATGCAAGAGTCTCTCTTGTATCATTTCTCTTAAGAAATAAATATTCAGTGACCCAGCCTCACCTGTAGGCAGCTGGATCTATGTGAGCACTGTGGCAAATGGAATGATAGAAAAAGTG